AATAGAATTTACCATTCTTATTCTGATGGCTTCTTTTTGTCTTTTTGTTGCCACAACACATTGATAATAAATATCTTTTTCCCTTAAATAATCCTAATTTCTAAATCTTTCACTCTCGTTACGAACACGTGGAAAGACACGTCAAATGCTTTTCAAATATGTGACCCCTGAGGGCCTCAGCAGGTCATTGCAGTAAAATACATGTATTCTATTCTGTGTTATTATGAAAAGTATAAGACATCAAGAGCTTAAAAAAACACCACCCACACCAATAAAAGGTCCAGCTCAAACAAATGAGATAAGAATCTACTTGATATAGAGCTGGTGTTTGGGGCAAACAGTGTTTTCAAATATACACCTGCAATATCATCCGATAAACTAAAATGAAATAAAGAAAAATTAAAACAATACCAGAGCAAAAATAAAGCTTACAGTGGGAACTCTGATCCAATGATGTTCTAACAGGATAAAAACGGATTTATCAGTTTTAATTCTGAAAATATTTTACATCTGGCTGGAATATAAATTGCTGTAAACTGACGCCATTGCCCTGTCCCGCTGACATTCGCAGAGGCAGGTCAGAGGTTGACAGTGTGAGCGTGTTTCTTGCACAGGGGCTTGTCCTTTTTGGAAAAGAACGCCTGACCTTCCAGATTGGCAGAGCACACCTGTGGAAACAGCAAAAGATATAAAGAGCAGTGCAACAGAAAATATTCTCGAAATGTATCTTGAAGTCAAGTCCTCTGCCTACCGTGCACACAAAGCAGGTGTCGTGCCAGGTGAATCCTAGAGCTTCCAGGAACTTATCCCCTGCCTCGATGGGAAAATCGCAGCCGTGGCAGTTGGTCCCAAACAGGTTATAGTAGTCTGAGTAAATATTGCAATGACAACACGTTAGTCATGCTGCGCACAGTTTGTCTTTCACAGAATCTTACACAGGCTTTCCTGCTGTACCTCTTTCGCAGTACGGCCGTCCATCCTCCATGTGAAACGTGTTGCCCCTGATCGGCTGCTGGCAGGCAGTGCAGACGAAACAGGACACATGCCAGGTCTGTTTCAGGGCATTCATGACCTCCTGCAGAGAGAATATAACAAAAACAATAATATGATATTTTTT